CTTGAGAGATACTGTTCTGTAGTTTTGTTATAATTTCTTTATCTGTTTTTGGTATAAGAGTAATGCTGGCTTCATAGAATGAGCAGAAGTGTTCCTTCATTTAGCTCAAAATATTTTTTAACTTAAGATTTCTTTGACCATGGGTTATTTAGAAGTGTGTTATTTAATTTCCAAATATTTTAAGATTTTCTTGCTAGCTTTCTGTTATTGATTCTTAGTTTAATTCTGTTGGTCTGAGAGCATATATTGTATGATTTTCATTTTTTTAATTTGTTAAGATGTGTTTTATGGTCCAGAATGTGGACTATCTTAGCGAACGTTCCATGTGAGCTTGAGAGGAATATATATTCTGTTGTTGTTGGATGGAGGATTCTATAAATTCATATTGGATCAAGTTGATTAATAGTGCTTTTCAGGTCACCTGTATCCTTTCTGAATTTTTGCTTGCTTGATTTATCAACTACTGACAGAAGGGTGTTGAAGTGTCCAACTATAATAGTGAATTTGTTTATTTCTCTTCTCAGTTCTGTCAGTGTTTGCATCATGTATTTTGATGCTTTTTTATAGGTGTATATACTTTTTAGAATTGTGTCTTCTTGGAGTATTGACTCTTCTGTCATTATGTAATTCTCCTCTTTATCCCTTGTAATTTTCCTTCTTTAATGTTTGATGAAATTTTGTGTGTGCATATGTACAGGCATACACCCACACACAAACTTATGCCATAAACAAATAAAATAGAAATTTGATCTATAATTTGAGATTATATATTTGCAATTAATGGCAAATGCCATGTATTTTTAATATATGAAATAGTCCTATGAATCAATATAAAACTAAAATGTAAAATGACAGATTTATATATGACAGGCAATGACAAAATAGGAAATTAAAAGGACATACATTTCTGAAAGTATGTTTAATTTTACTATAAATAAAAGTAACAGAAAGAAAGCCCAGTTGAAGTCAATGGACTTTTATTATGCATTAATTGTGCTATTAATGAATGGTAAAGAGAAAGTAACAGTAATATAGCAATGCAAATATATCAGTAGTCATAATACATATATTTATAAAATTTCAAACATGGTTTACTCCAACTCTTTACGTACTCTGTGCCTACATTCAGAAAGCTGAAAATGGCTGGAGAAAAACCCTCAATCATGATGACTAGTCTTATGTAAATTTATGACCACTGCTTCTAGTGCCCCTTAGTAAAGCCTGGTAATCATCTTTTTTCCCCTCACTTTCTCAATATCCTGGATGACTGTTTCTCTCCACTCAAACCTCCAACACTTCTTTTCCCATTCTGACTCTTGCTTCCTACACCACTGAGAAAATAGGAATGCTTAGAAGAAAACATTACCCCTTCCCATGACCACACGTACAAACGTGCTTGAATCTGTACCCATATATTTTCTTTCTATTTATTTGTAAGAACTGTTCGTACTCCTCTCTAAGGCCAAACAAACTCCATATGTGCATTAAAGTTTATTCCTTCTTGCCTCAAGGAACTAACGATGTCACTCTGCAATCTCCTTTATCTCTCCTTAATCATCACTATCTCTCACTGTTCTGCATCATACCTGTCAATGTACACATGAGGCTATTTTATCTCCCATCTTAAAATATTTGATCTCACATTTCCTTTGAACTACTGTCCCATTTCTCTGCTCCTCTTTACAGCAAAATTCTACAGAAGTATAGATTTAACTCACTATCTCCAAGTTTTTTTCTTTCTCCAAAACAGTTTTTGTCAAGATCACCAGTTACCTCAACACTGCTAAATCTAACAGTCAGTTGTCAGAGCTTAACTTCTTTAAGAGTTTGCAGCATTTGGCACAGTTGACCATTCTATAAGTACTTTATTCACCTAGCATTCTCTCTTGGTTTTCCTGTTCAGTTACTGGCTTATTTTTCTTGGTATCCTTTGCTGTTTTTTTCTCATTTTACTAACTTCTAACTTCTGGAGTGCCCCAGGACTCAACCCTTGGGTTTGTCTATCCAAAATCATTCCCTGGGTGATCCCATGTGCTCTTATGGTCTAAAATATTTGTCCTACTCTTAAGGTCATATTTTTGGCCTTGACTTCTTTATTGATTTCATACTTGTTTATCCAGCTTCCCACTCCTCTTGAATGTCAGTTAGATGCTCAAACATAACATGTCTAAACCCCCAAATCCTAATGCTCCCCAATCTTATTCTACCTATCTCAGATAATGTCTACTCTATCCTTCCAGTTGTTCATGCAGAAGTCTTGGATACATTCTTGACTCCTCCCTTTCTTTCACACCCCACATCTAATGCATCAATAAATCTTGTTAGCCCTACTTTTAAAATGTACAGAATTTTATCACTTTCTCAACACCCCTAGAACTAACGGTCTTGTCCAAGTCACGTTTATTTCTCACCTGAGGTGTTGAAGTTACCTCCTAACTGGTCTTTCTGCTTCTACTCTTGACCCCTAGAGTCTGTCCTCAACCCACCAACCAGTATGATCCTTCAAAAATATATTGTGCATTTACTTATATATTATTTATCTTGAGTATCCATGCACCAATGTTAATAATAAAAAAAAGAAAACAAACCCATTGTTGTTGAGTTGATTCCGACTCATAGCGACCCTATAGTACAGAGTAGAACTGCCCCATAGGATTTCTAAGGAGTGGCTGGTGGGTTCAAACTGCCAACGTTTGGTTAGCAGCCAAGTTCTTAACCACTGTACCATCAGGGCTCCATTAATTAGCACATTTTAATTCTATGAAGGTTGCCACTTGGTTTATTTTGTTCATTGTAGTATCACTAGACCTTAGGACAGTGTCTGTCGTAAATTAAGTGCACAATAAATGCTTGTTGACTGAATGGGTTAATCTATTAGATATGACTCTCTTTTTATTTATTCTGGTATGTACTCAAAGTGCTCTTTCAATCCGATAACTCTATTTGATTCTAAACTTTCTCAGCAGTTACCTCCTAAAAATATTACTTTATCTCTCATCCCACAAACATCTGCTTCTGGAACTCATTAGGTATATATTGGAGTTTTCCAGTGAAACCTACACGTCTCAGCTGTATTTTCGTATCTGTTAATCTCAGCATTTTTCTATGCCATGTTCTTCATAGTAATGAATCTCTCATTACTATCCTCCTTTTTCATTAATTCTTTTTGTGTCCAGTTTTGAGCTATTGTGTTTGGTTGTTTTTTGATTCAATGGTTACAACTTTTGTTTTAAAGATTTTAATAGATTTTTAGATCCACCTATGCTTATTTTTATAATATTTGTCATTCTTTTATGACTCAGAATCCTAAACTTACTCATTTTTAAAGTCTTTTTCAGTGTGTTTAGTTACTTTCATTTTATCTAGAGTGATTGCACATTCTGATTATTGAGTTTTGTGTTTGGGTGTGTGTTCTTGTGCTTTGGATTTTTTGTATTTGCGATCACATCTTGTTGCTATCGTTCATGATCTCTTCCTCTTTTTCCACTACCCTCCCTTGTTGTCGAACCTCTTTTTCTCTCTAGAAATTTTGTGCTTGCTACTGAATTGACACCTCCACTTCATTACCCTGAAATAGGTTTTATATTGGTAGTTTGGGACTCTTAGCTCACAGTGACATAGTGTATTTGCCATATTTAGTGTCTGAGCCATAAGGTATCTTGGCCTAGTTCCTGTTTACAGTGCTATATATCTATAACCTTTTACTTTCTACACTTCCATATAAGCCATAGTTCCAGGGAAGGGTTAGCAGGAGATTCTTCCAGCATCCTTTCATGAGTTGGGAGCCCTTTCCCATCTCTAGTTTCGAACAAGAAGCCCAGCTCTTGTTCTTCATATTGAGCAGCACACTTTTTATTTCCTATTATCCCCAGGAGCCACACTCCTTTCAAACTTAGTGTGTATCTGGAGCTGGTGAACAGCAGACAGCAGCTTTATTCCCATTCACAGCTTTATATTTCTGTTCAGTTTGTGAACTCCTTTGTATTCTTCTACCAGTACCATCAATTTAGAGAAGAGAGGAAACCTCAAAGTGTGAGCTTATTATGTCAACTTGTTGGAAGTCTAATGACGTATCTTTTATGCACTATTATATTTTCTGAATTTATCTCTCATAATTGGTGGTATGCTTTTCAGATTGGTGTCTCTTCATTCTGATATCCCTTTCCACCTTCTGAGGTTTAGATAATAAGCCCTTTGTTTCATTTCACACTTTCTCAAGTGAAGATTCTTTCCTTCTTCTTATCTATATGTTCTGTGATTCGTGAGTGATTAAGGTACAGATTCCTATTTTTTCCCATATTTTAAAATTAAAAAAAAATGTAATAAACCAATGTCCAATAAGTTTTCCCCCATTTATGACGTAAACTGACTAGCAGTGAGCCCAACTGCGCGGTCTTTAGACCTTTGTTCCTTCCCTTCCCCTCCTTTTCCTTTTGAAAGCTATATTTGTTTATTTGTTGAAGATAGTCATTGTTTGTATTTTGAGTTTTTGTTATTTGGAGCTGTTAATGAAAACTAATTGCCAGAGAACTATTCTTTGCTTATATAATTATCATTTAGTAAAGTTAATAGTATTCTCAGAGACTAGACACGTGTAGTATGTGTCAGAAATCTAAAAATTCTAGTTTGGGATGTTGATTATTAGTAAATCTTGACCCTCTATCTTTTGAGAATCTTACTTATAAACATTAAATATTCTTTATATAATCTTGTGTATGCAATTTTGTAAACATGGTTAAACAATCTTTTAAAGATTTTTATATCATGTACCTAAATCTGGAAATGAAAATGTTCCTTTCAGTATGAAGTTGCCTTGTCAACAATTATAAGTTGCTGTCACTTGCCATATGGTTCCTGATTCATTCTGAAAGAGCTGTCAGCCTCAGATAATTTAATTTTCTGTATTGTTAAATGACGTTCATAATCAGGATGTGAAAATTTAAAGGATTAGCTACCAATTATGACTAATAAACTGTCAATATATATTTTTTTGTTTCTAGAGAAAAACAGAAAGCTGAAGCTAAAGATAGAAAAATTCTTGAAATTTTGCAAGTCAAGGATGCCAAAATACAAGAACTAGAACAGGTTGGTGTTATAACAGAAAAATACAAAAAATTGCTATATTTTAAGATAGTAGATCTTTAAAATTATTTTGAATTGTTTACAGTAATGTTCATTAAGAATATCAGGGTTAATGGTCTTGGGGAACATCTAGCCCAATTGCCCTAGCATAGTTTATAAAGAAAATGTTCTACATTCTACTTTGGTGAGTAGCGTCTGGTGTCTTAAAAACCTGTGAGCGGCCATCTGAGATACTCTACTGGTCTCACCCCTTCGGAAGCAAGGGAGAATGAAGAAAACTAAAGATACAAGGGAAACATTAGTCCAGAGGACTAATGAACAACATCTACCATGGCCTCCACCAGACTGAGTCCAGTACAACTAGATGGTGCCCAGCTACCACCACTAACTGTTCTGACAGGGATCACAATAGAGGGTCCCGGACAGAGCTGGAGAAAAATATAGAAAAAAATTCAAACTCACAAAAAAAAGACCAGACTTACTGACCTGACAAAGACTGGAGAAACCCCGAGAGTATGGCCCCTGGACACACTTTTAGCTCAGTAATGAAGTCACTCCTGAGGTTCACCCTTCAGCCAAAGATTAGACAGGCCCATAAAACAAAATGAGACTAAAAGGGCACAACATCCCAGGGACAAGGACTAGAAGGCAGGAGGGGACAGGAAAGCTGGTAATAGGGAACACTAGGTCGAGAAGGGAGAGTGTTGACATGTCGTGGGGTTGTTAACAAGTGTCATAAAACAGTATGTGTACTAACTGTTTAATGAGAAACTAGTTTGTTCTGTAAACCTTCATCGAAAGTACAATTAAAAAAAAAAAAGAGTATCAGGGTCATTATGTTAAAACATTACTGTTTTTGAAATCACTGTAGTCAGATTATTCATTTTTGTCCATTGCTTATAACACATTGTTTTCTGAATTAATAGGCTATGGTATTTATACATTGAAAGTCTTTAAGCTAAGATAACATTTATAGTATTACAGAAGTATCTAGCGATTATTCATTGTTTTGTTGCATTTTGCCTTTTTTAGAAATTATCACTTAGTTCTGAAACTTGTAAATTTTCAAATGTTTCATTTGTAGGAAAAAATCAAAGAATAAAAATCATGAGAGTAGGATGATTCAGTTTCATCTTTTGAAAATGCGTAATTTTCAAATTAGTACAATCCTATTTTTACATATAATCCGTAAATTATATAATATGTAACCAGTATATTACCACTGCAAAAACCCATGTGAGCAGTGGTTCCAGGAACTATTTTTAAGAGATAAACATCTTAGAAGTAGAAGCATAGATATTTACTATAAAAATGAGCTATATCATTATATAATAACTTTTCTCACTATGACTTAAATTACATAATTTTTCTGGGTTAAATGGAGGTAACTTTTTGGCAATTTATTGTTCTTCTAACTTTTGAATCTGTTTTCTTTCCTAGCCAATTACAGGGTCATTAGAACTTTGATCTAAGGCCAGTTATTGTTATAAAGTTGTCTTATAAAAGGATTAAAAGTAGAAGTTAACTTAGGTAAGATATTCAATATCTAACTTAGATATCTTGCTTATTTTTCCATTCTTTACATCCGTATAAACTCTTTCTAAAATGGAATATAGATTCCTACATGACACACAAATTTGAAATTGATACCATCTCTAAAGCTGTTTTTCCTCATAGAAAATGCTACAGTTAGCACCATAATGATAAAATTTTAGAAATAACATTTTTGTCAGTTTGTTCTGAAAAAAACAGTTGTATTTTCCACCTGTGTATAGAACAATATCAAAATATGTTCTAAGACAGGTAAATATTGTCATATACCCGGTCTATTTATTAGGCTAGACTAAGCTGCTATAACAAATAGATAAAACAATATGACCGAGAAGTGGCCAACTTCATTTGCACTCACATTCTGTTGGGGAAAACCATCATATGGTCACCCCAGGATTCAAGAGGTTTGGGAATTATGGACCCAGGCTGAGCAGTCTCTTCTCAGTAAAGCATATTCAATCACACTGCTCTAACAAATTACTATTACTAATTTTCAGTAAGGGCAGAAAAGTTTTTGTACCACTGTACAATATAAAATTATTTTAAAATTTGCATGTATCTTATCTGTTAAAAATTTATTGTTAGGTATGTTTTGAAACATATGTAATATATTAGTACAATAGTTTATATATTTATAATTAATAAAAACCTATGTATGTAGTTGGGGCCCTGGTGGTGCAGTGGTTGAGAGTTCAGCTGCTAACCAAAAAATAAGCAGTCTGAATCCACCAGCTGCTCCTTGGAAACCCTATAGGGCAGTTCTACTCTGTCCTATAGGGTCTCTGTGAGTTGGAATCAACTCAGTGGCAACAGGTTTGGTTTTTTGGGTATGTATAAGGAGCCCTGGTGGTGCAGTGGTTAAGTGCTCATCTGCTAACCTACAGGTGGGCAGTTTGAACCCACCAGCTGCTCCATGGAAGAAAGATGTGGCAGTCTGCTTCCCTAAAGTTTACAGCTTTGGAAACCCCATGGGGCAGTTCAACTCTGTCCTACAGGGTCACTATGAGTCGGAGTCAACTCGACGGCAACATTTATTTTTTCTTTTAATATAGTGGTGATGTTTAAATTTGTTTAATGTGTGTGGTTTGTGATCAAAAACATGCAGATTCCTGACTTCTAACTTGGTTCTCAAACTTTAGTATGTACACCAGTTATTAACTTACTGCCCCTCTGCTCCAAATCCACCCTTTTTTTGCCTTCCTTAAAGATGGCTCCCACTGTTCACCCTTAGGACCCCAATTATTTATATCCTTCCAAAATGGAAAACACATTCAGTCCCTCCCATTACATCATCTCCAAATCCAGAATCTCAGATTTTGAACCAGATTCAGATGTGATGTAGTTCCTTAAGCACAGCTCTTCAGAACAGTTCCTCTCCACCTGTGAAATTAGAGAGACAAGTTATCATTCCCCCACACACCCAACATACAGTGGTGGAACAGACGTGGGATAGCTGCTTGCACGGGGAAAAAAGGGAGGTTGAAAGGCTTCACTGGTCCATAGCAATTCTGAAATACATTTGGGCAAATGATGGGCAAATTCTGTTTCACCTGCAGCTGGCAGCATCTCAGGTCTCAGTTCAGACTGATTTCAGTCTGCCCACACATGCACGGTTCAGGCATCAGCCAGAAATATAGTCAGTGTTTATACACAGAGTTTAAGATTCAGTTCTTTCTTGTTGCTCTGGTTGTCCCAGGCTCCTTCTCTGGTTTCTCCAGCAGAAAGATGGCAGGTTTTTCTGTCCAAATCTTACATGCCACATATCATGTC